GTTACTGGAGTTAAAAATACATAATAAATTTATACCAAATGTTTCAGGGTGTAAGATTGACAGCCTCTACTTTTTCATTCAAAAAAGGATGGAGGCACATTTCTTTTATAGTCGGTTACTCTATCTACATAGCAGAAACAGTCTAACCTCACATTAATGTGTGCTCTCCATGCTGATGAGATGAGCTGGCTGAAAGAAATGCCATTTCTGCTCTCAAGCTTCCTTTGTAGCCATATTGCTCACTGTTTGTAAGTATCACACCCTTGTTCTTCTATTTTAATATTTGTCACTTTTCTATAATTGTTGCATAGGAAGCATTTGTTTTGATTTCTTTGACATCAGGGTGATTCAGAATTGATTTAGGAACAGGCAGTCTGGAATAATGTTTTCTTGGTTCTTGGGCTAAGGCACACATAGAGGAGATGCTTGAATGTAGTTTCCATTTCAGTGAAAAAAGTCAATTTAGACATGCAACGAAGGAACTTCAATCATGACTTGCAATACAAAAGTACAACTCTGAATGTTTAGTGACTATTTTTTTTTTTTTTCTGCCACTTTACAGTCCTGAGGACATGCTCAGATGTTAACCAACACCACTCACAAATGTAGGGTATGGGCTGCACCACAGGTTAGTCCCACCTTGAGGAAAATGTGAAGGCCTTTTGTCCTCTCATGCCAATTGTTGGCTAGGTTCAATACCTGTGCAATCCACAATGGTATTCTGATGTTGAATAATGAAGCTTCAAAAGGCCTTTGAAACACTGAAGTAGCCAAAGGTAGTAGAAGTTACCAAAGACAGTGTAGTGGGTTGAATAATGTCTACCCAAAATTTATGTCTAACCAAAACATCATTTGTTGTTGTTGTTGTTGTTGTTAAGTGCCATCCGGTCGGTACCAACTCATAGCGACCTTATGCAATGCAGAATGAACACTGCCCGATCGTGGGCCAACCTCACTACTGTTGCCACACTTGAGTCCAACGATGCTGCCACTTGGCCAATCCATCTTGTTGGGGGTCTTCCTCTCTTTCTCTGTCCCTCCA